CTTCAAAAAGGGGAGGAAGGAGGACCCGGGAAACTATAGGCCAGTTAGTCTTACCTCGATCCTGGGTAAGCTTTTTGAGAGAATTATTCTGGCACATGTTATTCTGGGTCTGGGACATTAGCTTTATTGTCTGGTGTTCCTTCCTGAGTCCCCTGCCCAAAACAATATATTTTCCTTCTTTTTTGGTAGTATACCACCCTCTTGTATCTATAAACTAAACATTTATGGCAATATATAGAATTTTAGAAACCTCTAGCTTAGTTGTTGGGAACAGATGTTGTTTACTATGATTCCTTCCATTTGGTAGCCATGCACACTATAGATGGATAGTATCAATTTAAGGTTTAATATGTAAGTAATGGGATTAGGCAATTCAATCCACATGCACACAACAACTGATTCCCTTCACTCGGTAGTTTTCTATATATATGGGAGAGGGAAATACCAAGTGGAAGGAATCAAAGCCCGTGTATATTGAATTACATATCTCATTACTTACATATTAAGCCTTAAATTGTTACTTCGCTGGTCTATTTTTATCCGGTTTTGTTCTACACTTCAAATATGATGATGTGTGACTTTATATTATCACTTCATTTTAACTCTTGCTTTTATAATGAAATGAATGTATTGTTTTAAAATATCTTTAACATGTTTTTCTTTGCCATGTCATAAAGGTCTTGCCAATATTGAAACAATTATTATGTTCTAACAGATAAATTGTTCTTTAAATGGTTTCTTTCCCCATAGAGTTGATAGTACTTTTTGATGCATAGTGAAATTTTGGAAACCTGAAAGCTAATACTAGTTTGGGGTTCACAAAATGAGTTTGTTGCATTAATCTACAAGGGATATCTTCACATTACCCAATCATTATAAAAACTACACTTTCTGTATTTTACTGTGGATTGGATAAATCTTTTCTGGATGCTTGGCAGTAGATAGAACATCATGATAGGTTTTATTTCCAGCGGAGCTGTGAGACAGTTTTGTACTCAAGAGTTCATAATTCGTGGTAATCTGATGCCACATACTTTATACGTACATAGTGTCTAATTTTATCTTTTATTTGATGAGTCATGAGAGAGTTGGAAAATTGAAACAGGCCTGATAATGTAATGTATGGTGGGTCAAAGGGAGAAATGCTAAAATTTGTTGGGGGAAAATTTTTCTCTCTCTCTCTTGTGCCTGGGATGAATATGTAAAGGATATTGTGACACAGTGATGCATGCTACATGTGATTCTACATTGCCATAGCAACATGGCAACGTAGCATCCACAGGCAAAAACCATCATGCCGCAGCCACATCGCCGTGGCAACACACTTCCTCGTTATAGCATGTTGTTATGGCAAAGTAGCAGCTAAAAATAACCGTGCGGTATGGGCTGTTACTGCACTGTCATTTAGTACTTCCAAAAGTACAAAAGGAAGTACTAAATGACAGCGCAATAACAAAGGCACCATAGGGACACGTGTAGACCCACCCAGTGAGCAACAAAGACACAAAAGCAGCAGCATCCCTAAGAATTAAGGATGAAAAAAACAGAGTTCAATGAAGGCCGGGTATCTGTTGACAGAGGTAGGAAGAAAATGTAAATAATATTATGTCTTTAAGAAATCATTCAGATGAATATATGTATAAATATAGTCTATATTCTCTATGTATGATTTGTTATAATAAATGTGCAGAAGGCAGAAGGAGCTGTTGTTGGGATGGGTACCCACAGTGTTGTCATCCTGTAATCGGAAAACCAACCGCACAATAGCAAAGAAATGGGCCATTAACTTGAGGGATTCCACATGCCCCAAGAAGGAAAGACATTTCTAGCGGATTTGTAAATTTGTCAGCAATGCTGATGGGGATTTGGGGGGAGGACTGAATTTTTTCATTGGTTTGGCTTATTCCAGGCTTTGGGAGAGTCCAGGTCCCCACTGGTCCTGGCTGGTGGGAGGTGGGCTGTCGCCAGGTGAAGGGTGAGAAACACTATTTTCCTGTTTTGTCTTCAAATTTTATGGTCACTTTTTCTTGTATAATTCTTTTCCCCCATATAATAAATCCTTTTGTCATTTCACCTCTTCACCGATTGCCTACAGGAAAGCATGATCTCTGGGCTAGTGACGTTCCTGTTCTATGGAAATGGGGATATAAAATTCTTTTACAGCCCAAGGTTGTGAAAGCTGGCAGAGCTGGCAAGATTCCTCTGCTGTAGCTGTGGGGTCCAGTAAGAGCAGAAGAACCAAGACTTGTATCCTTGTCTGTCAGTTTCTTGGTATCCTTGTCTATTAAGGCCATGGTGTTATCCCAGGACAAACCTTGGCCTGTTCCTTAGGAAAAGCAACAGGACGATAGGGAGAATCTTGGGGTGCTGGGCACATACAATAAGTGGATTTGAGACACCCACCATCTAATTCCTCCTACTCTTGTCTGTCTTCTCTTTTTCTTGAGAATTTATGTTTTTAGTAGGATTAATATTGTTTAAGTTGGGAAAGCTATATCAGCAATTTCCAAGTATGTTTTGTTGAACTTTTATCAGTGATGACGGTATTATCTTCTCTTGTCTTCAGCCTTGCCTGGGATAGTGTTTCCAGTTTGGGGCCCTGCACCTCAAGAAGGCTGTGGACAAGTTGGAAAGAGTTCAGTTTAGAGTGACAGAAATGATTAGAGGTCTGGAAAGCAAGACTTATAAGGAGAGGCTGAAAGCTAGGGCTGTTTTGTTTTGAGAAGAGAAAACTCAGTGGGGGATTTGATAACCATCTTAAAATACTTAGAGGGTGATTGTAGGGAGTCTGAATATAGGGTTTCTTTCTGTGGCTGTAGGGGACAGGACTATGAGCAATGGATTCTAGCTGCAGCAAAGGAAATTTAGGTTGGAGATTTATGGGAGCTCCTGACTGATTTTGCTCAAGCATTGGAATAGGTTACCTAGAGAAGCTGTAGCATCTTCATCCTTGTGCTTTTTTTAAGACCGGTTTAGACGGACACTTGGCTGGGATGGTCTAGCCAGGGACAGTCCAGACTTGAGTAGGAGGCTGGACTAGGTGATGACGCAAGTTCCCTTCCAGAAGATTTTTCCTATTATGCTATGGTGCTAGGAGCTGCACCGAGCAGCTGCGGTTTCAGAGGTGAAATAGGTAGATGGAAGTAGCAGCTTCTCAACACAATGGTGTTCACAGATAGCTTAGGGTGACACCTGAACAATGGTGAAAATTCTGTTTTAAAGGAAAATAATATAACAAAGAGTTGTTTTTTTTAATGTGACTTACTAGAAACAGACCATCAAGAAAGATTCTGCATAGCAGATGCATAACAGGAAGGAAAACAACATATTTTAAAATTCTTTAATCAGCTTTTACTAATGATAAATATAGTTAAAATGCATGTGTGGGAAATTCAGTGTTATGGCTACTATTTGTGCTTTCCCTGTGGAAGATGTCTTTTTTATATTATTTATGATGCAGTTGGTAAATAGAATAACTGTTAGCCAGTATTTTTCTTGAATAGTATCATAGATGCTAAGCAGTAAGTTTACTGTGTATCTTGGTGCTGTTGAAACACCCAAAGATGTATTGCATTTATTCTTGACAGTGTCCTTTCTCCCTGACCACTCTGTGGTTTGTGGTCCCAATAATCATTGGAAGTATTTTTAATTGTACCCATTTTTTATTAGCTTACTTCCACAGAGCAGAGTACTTAGCACCTTTTTTTTTTGTCATTCATTTCTTTGAGGATGGATTATCATTGCATGCAATTTTCTTTTGATGGACAAAAGTGCACAAAGTGAGGTTATTTCGAGGCTGTTTATTGTGGTGCTTGCTTTTGAATTCCCAAGTGCCCAGATGCTATAATCATGAGCATATAAAAACCCGTAAATTAACCGGCATATATTTGATTACCATAACTTTTAATAAAGTAGAGCAGGGGAGCAGAAATTAATAGACATGCTTTTTTTGGAAGCAAGAGTTGTCAGGAGGCAGTCCTTTGGGGGAGCATAGCACGAGGAGGGTTTAGCAAAGTGTTATGCTGAAATTCTAACAAGTTTGGTGTAAACAAGAGCCTGGGCGTACTCAGTTTTCATTGCCCTGTCTATATTTAATCAAGCAATGTAAATATGCAGATGTGTTTATTTTCTGTTGATCATGACACTATTTTTTTTAAATTTATTTTTAAGTGTTAGATAAGTAATGCATCATACCAATATGGTTTTGAATATTTGAAGAAGCCTTGTTTGGAAGAATCCAATGATATTTTAAAATACGGTAGTGTTTTATGCTTCTTGTTTTATGCATAAAGATGCATCTTTATAAACTAGTGCTTTTTGATTCTTCTTTTTGACAATTGAAGTGTAGTGCCTGAAGTAGCCATGAGATTAGAGGCATGTAGTATTATATGCAAAACAAAGCAGCTGGTAGCTTATTTAAAAATACCATTATAAATTCTTTGGGCTGGGGAGATGTTAGATGTGAGGCTTGCAGCAAACAACAGGCAAAAGCAACAAGTTAACTTTGTTGCCATGTAGCATTTTCAATCCGGTGTTTTGGGGGACTTTACAACGGTGACGAGATAAACGTTGGAACACTGCTGTCGCATCAATCAAGCAAGTTCTTACTTTGCGGAGATGGAAACGGAGCCATGAAGTAGCCAAGTGCATTGCTGGCATCACACGCAGGAAGTCTGGCACAGAATGGATTAGAGAGATTCCTGGCTTCAGCTCTTTCAGGACACAAGCGTACAAGGAAAGGCAATTCCAACCCCAGCTGTTTGAAGGATGTATGGGAAAGGGCAGAGTGCATTGCTTCGCGTGTTATGAGGGTGTGTAACAAGGTGTGAAACCAATACAGGTACAACCTGGATACCAGAAAACTAAAAGACATTTTAGGTTTAATACCAAAAAACCAAAATGTCCTAACAATGGTATCTATTAGAGTGCAGAATAATCTTCTAAAGAAATTTATTTCAACCTCCTTGTTTAAAACCACTATTGTGAGAAAAAAAAAAATCAGTAGCTATTATAGGAAATACACCTACACTGGCGAGATATGAATTAAGAACTTAATATGCCCCTTCCATTTCTATTGTCTGTGATATTTATGTGTTTTGGGGACCTTGGTAACTTGCCTGTTTGTCTTTTAATTAGAACTAGCAAATATACATATACTGGAGATTTTCGACTCTCTCCACATTTTGTAGGGTTCAACTCTGAGACTGAGTTAAACAGTAGGGGTGGAAGGGCACTAGAACATACTAATTATCAATCTTTTTTTTGGAACAGTGGAATTATTTCTGAATGTAATGAACCTCAGCAGCTTGGTTCAATGATGTTGGAATGTATTTGACTGCCAGTTGTTAAATGAGCCTTTATTTTCTAAGAGTGGGAGAAGAACATTCAGCAGAAGAGGGAACAGATGATGTTTATTTTAAATAGGCAAATTAAACTGTCACAAATATCATTAAGGTTAATTTCTTAATAGACAAACTTCTCGTGATTTCTGTCAGAGCAGGTTTGAACCTGTTCGGGGTTTTTTTTTTTTTTTT